GGTTGGGCACTTAGCACCTCTCTAAAGTGTTCAGCCTTTTTGATTGATCCCCTGAGCGCACATACACGCTCAGGCTCAAAAACTCCATGTATTACATTGATAATGCCTTGAGGTGGGGCGTCGACTGGCATCCCGTTGGGATTATTGTGATCCTGGGGGGCTGGTTGCGTCCCTCCTTCAATGTACTTGTCCAAGTGGCCTGCTGCCACCAACTCTTCCAGGTGTTGTCTCAATGGTGTGCAATTCTCCGTGCGGTGTCCTTTTTCTTTATGGAAGGTGCACCGTGATCTTTCGTCATAGTCCTTCTGCGCTTCCCCTAATTTGGCTGGCCACTTGACGAAAGGCTCATCTCTTATTTCGCTAAGAATCCGATATATCGGTTTCTTGAACACCGAAGGAAGCCTGATGGTAGGGGCGCGTTTTCAATTGCTGGAACAAACGGCGAAGTCTGTAGCCTTGCTAGTGCCTTGTCCGTTGGTTCGTAGGCAGGGCGCGGTATTGGCATTCCAACCTCGACGCTTCCATGCGTCCGAGGAGCCAACCGTTGTAAGGCAGAAACTCTCTGCGGATCCCGCGCCCTGGCATCCTCCTTGCATCGTGCTTTCTCTTCGAGCACAGTTTGTAAGTCAGATGATCTGGGTAATTCCGTCTGTCTAGATCTGGTTTGGTGCGAATGTGAGGGCCAACACGTGCTTCCTTCAGTGTATGATCTTTCAGATCTCGTCCTCTCAGACCTGGAGTGACGAGTTTTGGAAGACCAGGATTAAGTGTCGCCTGTCCTGAGGCTTCTACTTTCTCCTTGCGAGGGTGTAGTATTCCTACTATGATTTTCTAAGTGGCGAGGGGGTGTCTTGTTTTTGCGCCCCTCTCCTGTCGCCACTTCTTTTTTCTTCATCTGGCGTTTCAAGGCCTCCATGTCCGCCGCCATCTTTCTTATCAATTCATCTTGCTCTTTCGCGCGATCTTCCAGAGCTTGAAGGTCAATCCTCCGCCTTTGCCTGTCGGGATTTTGAGAATGAGATTGACTGGGGCTGTGAGTCCGTCTTCCCCTAGTATCTCTCCTGGAGTTATGTCGTTGGGACTCCAAGTCCGCCATGGGAGGGACAGAAGGTAATCCTTCATGCCTTGCGCCTCCATCTGGAGTTAGCCCGTCGACGGCGGACTGCGGCAATTCTTCAATGTGTGCCATTGTTTGAAAAGAGGAGAAGCTTTAATCAAGAGGTTTTGTTCTGTCTGTTTTTCCCACAGACGGCGCCAATTGTACGGGAAAGAAATATACCTTCTCGTATAATCCTGTTGACTAAGTCCGTGCTCCTCCGTATGACGTCGCTTTGTCACCTGAAAACACAAACGTGAGCTAGCCGGCGGGTGTGTGCCGGAAACCCTTCCGATGCCTAAGTCAGCAAACTTGACAAATAGACAAAGCTCTGTGTATTCAGAAAGCAAAGTTGTATGTTACCTCCTCCCAGGTGATGTTTGTGAGCTTTTATAGGTTTTGAGTGGCACAATCCTAGTAGGACTCATACTCCTCCATGCAGAGTCCTCCTAGGATTCATACTCTTGAAAGATAATGTTTATCCTTCAACACCCCCCTCACTGCTTAAACCAAGTGAGATGGTTTTTACCATGGCCGAACTACCATATGACCGAAATAATACTGGTTATGCTGAGCCACAGAGTAGGCCGAACTATCCTCAGTTCGGTTCTTCCTCTTATTCCTCCTTATCTTGGTTCTCTCCTGTTCAACCCATAGTGTGATTGGACCGAGCTACCGAATAGCAAGGTTCCGACCGATCTACCCAGAATACGTCATGACCAGACTAACTCTGAGACCGGCTTAACTCCAAGTTGCCCGTACCGGAGTAACTTTACAACTCTTGGGCCGGCGTAACTTTATTTCTCTTGAGCCGGAGTAACTCTGTCTCTCTTGGGCTGGAGTAACTTTTCGACCTTTTTACCCAGTCCTTCGTACTTTGGGCCATAAAGTCCATCTCATAGCTCGGCCCAATTTTCACCAAAATTACCCTCTCAGTGAGGTTATGGGTAAAGTGGGCTAGACCCATTAAACCCAAAACAAAAACCGCATAGGCGCGTCGTCGTCCGTTTGGGCAGGCTGGGTTGGGCTTAAACACGGGTACGAGGTGTGAGATTGGGTTGGGCTAGTCTAACACAATACTTTTCTTTTTGGACCAAAAATATTTATATTTTATTTATTTTTTTTTAATTTTGGTTTCAAAATTCAAAATAAATTAGTGCAGATTTTTCCTCCACCCAAACAGGTTTAAACTCCACTCAAACCGAACATATCTGTTTCTGTCCAAATAGGTTTTCTACATGTTGAATTCAACCGAACATGTTTTCTACCTATTGAATCTGTCCGAACAAGTTTCTATCTGTTGAAACCTGTTCGGAAAAGCCACCAATTTTCCTATATAAAACCTGTCATCCACCAATTCATTTGATTAAATTTTTTCCTCAAATTTTCGTCTTTTTTCTTCCCTTTCCATATTTCTGTTTTCTACATCTGTTCTGCATTTTTTTTTTAAGGAGGAAAAATAGAGGGTTACAGCAAAGTTTTGGTTCGCCAAACTTGATTTTGTAGTGCAGCAAATCAAGTGTTAGTCGTTGCATCCTGGGAAATAGAAGCCGGTAAATCTCGAAGCACTAGAGCGAGGGCGAAATTTACTTTAAGGAGATTGTGTCCAAAACAAGTCTCGACTTATTATTTCTATAAGCAATTGGTTCGGAATTTAATTTATATAACTATTTTTTGAATTAATTATTTTTTATTTTGTTGTTTATTTTATTTATACATACACACATTCACTGTGGGAATAACACTATTCTGTGTGTATATATATGGCAATAAAGGTGTTTTGGTCATTTGTCATATATTTTTGGACAGAAAAAACTGTTTCACTCACCATTTATGATCATGCAATACATGTTATGTTTAAACAAATAGTTTTGTCGAAAATAATACTTTGGTATGAAGTATATGGAGTTTAAGTGTTATAAATAAAATTATAGGGAGGCTCCTTATTTTTTAGGCAAACCACAAGGGGTTAAATTATAATTTACCCTATCTTTAAATAAATAATAAATAAATAAAATAAAACTTATCTATACTTTTCCAATTAATTTTTTTTACACACCATTGTTTTAATAATAAATTTATTTTTATTCTATAATCTAAAAAAAAAAAAAAAAAAAAAAACCTACTCCTACTAAAATCACAAATGTTTGGCCTATTTGTCAATTGAATTAAAAGTTAATTTTTTAACTTTTTTAAATTAAATCATCTTTTTATTTATTTTTTATATATTTTTTAAAAAAAATTAATTTTTAACTCACCTTTTAAAATAGGACAAATGATAATGTCAGAGATATCAAATTTTTATCAAATAAATGACCAAATATCTCACATGGGTGTGAGGTTTGTGGACCCTACACCCATGTAACATATTTGATTTTTTGTTTGGTAGAAAATTTGAGATCTATAGCATTTTCTTAGGACAAATCCAATTGGAATTGAGTAGTGTTATATGCACCAATTAGTATACTCACTAGTATACCAACACTAGTTATGAAATTATTATTGACCTCACTCATTATACAAATTACAAATACCAAAAACTTCTTAAATTATGTCATATCATCAATTAGTGCACTAGTTAATGTACTAATTAGTGTATATAGAATTAGTCATCGGAATTAGTTAAGGAAAAAACTCCCCCACAAATATGACAAGTAGGGGTGCTCGCAGTTTGATTGTGGTTAAGGAATCTTCAATCCGTCATTCGTTTGTCAGATTGGCGGATTGAAAAAAAATCAATTCGCATCCGTCCGCCGGATTGACTGATGTGGATTGAACGGATTGGCAAATTGACAGATGGATACGAATCGATTTGGCAGTTTAAACTTTTATAAATTTGAATATAATACAACAATTTGTTAACATTTATATATATATATATACAAGAAAACCATAAATTATTAAAACTATTTCATTATTTTTTTTATATTCAAAAACTATTTAATTTGATTTTTAAAAAAAATGACAAAATTAAGTATTATATTTTTCATACAAAAATATCAAATATCAACACTTACCATTTGATAAAAAGATTTTCAAATGAAAACAAAATATTTAAACACTTTTTCAATTGAAACTACAAACAGAATATCTAAATAATTTGAAAACATAAAATCTTACAAATTACTATGAGTACTTGCGGTTTGACGGTTTTATTGCGGTTAAAGAAACCTTAAATTCATTATATGTCCAAAATTAGGTGGATTAAAAAAAATTAATCTACAACCGTACTTTCGTCTTCACGTATCTATTCAAAATATAACAGATCAATTCGAATCGATCGATTTAAACAGATCAAAATATCCATTGAATATCCAAATGACAACATAGTGACTGTGATTCGGAAAAGTAATACTACAGATTTCAAAATTTTTATCAACTTTTTTACCAAATATCTCACTTGAATGTGGAATTTATATGGTATGAGTTCCTGTCAATCAGATGCCCATATGAAATATTTGGTAAAAATTTTAATAAAATCTTTGGATCGAAGCATTTTTCGAAAAAGAAACCTTTACTCTTCTGGTCAACGTCTCAATACGTCGTCATCGTTGTCATCATATATATATATATGTATAGGGCAAATTACATATACTTCTCTCAAGATTTAGTTAAATTACAGATACCTCTGAGGTTTTAGAAATTATAGATACCCTCCTGAAATTTATATTTTCATTACAAATTACCCCCTGAGGTTTATATTTTCATAACAATTTATTCCCTAATTTATTATGCAAATAATACATTCAGAGAAATATTTATAATTTCTCAAAACTCAGGAGTATCTGTAATTTTACTTAACCTCGAGGGGTATATGTAATTTGCCCATATGTATATATTGGTTGTCACGATGAGAGAACCAAGTACTCTTGTGGAAAGCAAATCAAAGAGAAGAATTGCGTCAATGGAGTTTCCCAATCTTCCACGCGATGTCCTCTTCGACATCCTCTCAAGGCTTCCCATCAAAACGCTCATCAAATTCAGACTCGTCTCCAAAAACTGTCTCTCTCTCATCCAACACCCTCACTTCATCACCCTCCATCAAACTCGATCCATCTCCAAACCAACCTCAGAAGACAATCACATCTTCATCTACTACGAATCAATCGACTATACCAAGCAATTCTACTCTGTATGTAGCAGCAGAGACAGTGATTCCTTGATTGAGCACAAGAGATTTGAATTTCCATTCAAGAGCTTTAATGGGTATGTCAGAATTGTGGGTTCAAGTAATGGGTTAGTTTGTTTGTTTGATACCAATTACTTTTCATGCTTTGGTAATTTGTTTTTGTGGAATCCAATTGTTGGGAAATTCAAGAAATTGCCTGATTCTCACTTGAGTTGTCGATTTCGTGATACTTTTTCTCATATGGTTGTTGGGTTTGTGTTTGTTTATGAGATCAATGAGTTTAAGGTAGTGGAAATTTTGTATGATTCTGATAGAGAGGCTGTTCCTGATGTGTTGGTTTACTCTCTGGAGGCAAATTCTTGGAGGAAAGTTGAAGCTATTGCGCCGTGCTATATGCCTAATTGTTGGTGTAGTAATGTCTGTGTGAATGGTTCGGTGCATTGGTTGGCGCTTAAAAGGCCGGGAATTGGGTTTTTGTATGATTCAATTATGTCATTTGATATGAGTAATGAGGTGTTTAGAGAGATAGGACTGCCCGATAATCGCAATGGTAATTTCGATCGAGTGGACTTGTGTGTTTCGGCTTCTGGGGATTCATTATCTCTGTTTTATCACTTCAATGACCGATGGGAAGTATGGTTGATGAAGGATTATGGGGTGGTAGGGTTTTGGATGAAACAATTTGATATTGCAGAACCACAGGTCTCGGTGCCGCTCAACTTTATGAGTGGTGGGGATGTTTTACTTGTAATGAAGAGTGGAAAGCTGGCCTTGCATGACCCCGAGAACCAACAAATGAAGGATGTTGAAATATGTGGTCTTCCAAGTTCCTTTCGCGTAGTTACTTACGCATCTAGCCTAGTTTTACTGAACGGAAGAGAGAAATTCTTGGGAGTAAAGAATTTTGTTTGATGGAAATATATATGAGGTAATCATGTATAATCCTAAATGAAGGAATTGGGAGAGTAATATAAGAGTATTTGAAATGTCGAGAAAAGAGGCAAGGGAATCTATCTACACTTTTCATTAATGTCTAGAACTTTTTACTCATATTACTGTTGTTGCTTGTAATATTACATACTTTCTTAAATGTTTATGTAATGATTTAGCTTTTCAGTGTAAACGGTATGTAAGATATGTTATTGGTTTAGCCACATATTGAACAAAACCTGATCGTACATCAATATGTTGTTTTTTGTTGTTTTTCTTTTATGCCTAATCTTACTTGCATATATCCCTTGGATCATTGAGGGCATTGTTACTGGTAATTCAATGTTTGCCTTCATATGTTGGGTATTTCACAATGGGTCGTTACTAAGAATTATTGGAGTAGAAGTGCAATATTGAGCAACTAGGGAAACCTCATGCCGTGGCTTGAGTGGTATATCCTTCCTATCTGAATCGGAGTTTTCTTGTTTGGACATGGGGTGCTTGTCTTGCTAAAAAGACCAAACGTGAATAAGTAGGGGAAATAAGAACTTGAAAGATAAAAAGTGGTACCCATTTTTCATGTCTAATAGCTACAACTTACAATGCAATTCTTTACCAACCATTTACTGAAAATAATGGATTCAGATACATTTTTCTTGATATTTCACACTACTGACTACTGAGCATAAATCATGCTGAATTGAAGGGAAATGTTTTTAGCATAGAAGGCCAATTTAGAGTTTGGATTACTCTCTGAACTACAGGTTCATGTTGCACTCTTTTTCAACACTTACTTTTTTGGGATAATCACATTGGAATATTCATGTGTTGGAGGAGCTATGCATATAGGTCAACCTTTAAAAATATTTGTGGCTCTCTGTGCAACTAAGACTGCATACTATTGTCCTTGGACTTTTAAGGATTATCTACAGGATTGTTCAATGTTTTCTCTCTGTTAGGATGTTGCACTGGTTTCTCACTCATTTTCAGATCATGTCATCTATCAGGCAAATACCCTCTAGATGTGATGTTGAGATAGTTTCATCATCTAGTGCTCTAGCCCATGTTTGTTTGTGGGACTGGATTAGGGGTGTATATGCAATACTTTGTGATCATGTGCTGAACTATATGTACCATGGAGTAATGGATTAAGCATTATATATACATTACTTATACTATATTTGGTTAGGGTTAGATTCATTTATTCACACTGATGATCTTTGTTTGAGATGTTTAAACTTTTATTGTTGATGAAATTACTTTCCCCGAAACTTCTTGCTTGGGGAGTGTTGGTAGGTTCATTTTGGGCATTAGGATTTAGGTAACATGAAATTCGTAGTAAGGTTTTAGCTGGAATCATAAAAAAAAATTCTTGATTTATGCTGTTTTGTGCTTGGAAATTGTAATATATGCATATATATATATATATATATATATATATTTTGTGTGCGCACGCGCATGCTTGGAAATTGTAATTATTGAAGGAAAGCGGAAATAAATTTCAGTTTCTCTAGTTGAAACATTGAATAAACACACCATGATTTTATGATTCAGAATCACTATATGTCTTGCTCTGCCTGTACTTTTCTTTTGTATTTGTTGTTGGGCCCTGTTTTTGAGGAACAGAATTATATGGACCTTTGATGCCAGCTGAAATTTGTGTTTGCTTTTTAAAGGAGGAAATTCAAATGCATTTTCAGTTAATTTTTCAGATCAGAGTTCTTGTATTTTCACATCTTAAATTATGTTAAAAAATTTCCCTTGAAATGTTGATTTTGTTGGTAATTTAGATAATTTCCATATTACAGAAACAGATTGAAGATTCAATGACTTGTGGGTTAGTAGTCTTAAGGGTAGATATGCCCAACTTGCAAAAATGGAACCCAATCTCACCTGTGGGCTATGTGTGTCCAAGGTTTTTTTTTTTTTTTTTTTTTTTTTTTTTTTTTAGTCTCTACATGGCAGCCTGCATCTGTTCAAGGTGTCAAAGCAGCTGAGTCTTGAGTAACCAACACAGAAAGGACCTTGTTACCTAGATTTGTGAGGCTGCTGCACAATTATTCTGACAACCAAAAATGATGATAAAATTAAAAACTTTTTGTTGTACTTGAACTGTTTAAAATGCAACTTAATTTTTTCGGGCTTAGTGGGATGAAAACTGACTTCATAATTTACTTTTATGTGGGTCTACAATTTACATAAATCTGCAAAGTTCATATAACTTTATGTAATTCCCTGTCATGTTTATGAATTATGTGGAAACATAGAGTGGATGATGAAGAGGTGAATAGTGCAACTTGCAGGAAAATCTATGTTACATGGACATAGTGATGAGTATCGGGTGTGGGTGTCTATCCATGTGGTAGACCTTCGTAAACCTAAACTTTAGGATATTAGGATATGTATCTAAATGATAGATATGGGTACAGGGACGTGCAGTGGACACATATATGTTGCATATTGTATAACTATATGTTTAGATAATGTGTTGTAGATTATGTAAAAATGGATTTGATATTTTAAAAAAGTACACGAAAAGATATGGAATTTATGTATCATCCATGTGAGAGGCAAGAGACGTGAGAGGCAAGAGACATTTCTTTACTAGAAATGTGAGTTTCTTTTTCCTAAAACATTGTAAAAGACTAGAGGATCCGAGTGTTTAAACTAGGTATAAATGTTGGACACATCCCACATCCTTAGCCTATATCCGGTGGACACGAGTACGTAGGGGGAAATAGAAGAGTCCATGTAACACAATTTCTTACTCGATCTGGTGGATGACAGTAGTGGCTCTGCAATGAAGATGGTGATTGTGGAGAGAGGAAAAAGTGCACAAATCGGTAGCATTGGTCAACTATGAAGTTTGGTGGGTGTGTGAGAATCTTTGAGAAGCCTCTCAAAGAAAGGGAAGAAACTTTTTCCTTGTTCAGCTGATTGATAGATTTTGGTCGGTGGAGTGTTGATGCCTACATGATAGAGGAGTAAGGTATTTGATGTTGAGGTGTGTGGTTTGTAGGAGAAGTGTTTGGTCGGAATTCTAGAGGTGGATTAAGGGATAAGTGGTATGTTTTCTTGGACGTTGTGAAGAATTTGGGTATTGGGTTGGAAGAGAGGAAGCCGGAGCTCCACTGTTTATTTTGCCAATTCACGGAGGTGGAGGAATGGTTGTAATCTATGATTTGCATGATGGATAATGTTGGGTTTAGGGACTGAGATATTGAGGTAGACCCTTTGTTGTGTGGTGACATGAGGGTGTTCTGCCAAAGGTGTTTGGTTTGAAGGATTGTAGATTAGGGCATGACAAATTAGTTCTAAAAGTGAGCGAAGTTCAACCCCAATTAGGACAAATTAGGGTATGACAAATTCGCACTCAAAAGAGTGAGTTTTGGCGTGACAAAGTGTTATAATCATTAATAAAAATTAGTTTCACATGTGAACAAGTACCTTAAAATCTAATAGTGTGATCTATACAAGGCTAATTGTCATGCTACTTTTTAAAACATTTGCCATACCACTTTCTCATTCCCATTCCTTGTACAATAATTATTGGTGTTTAAGGTAACACAGGTTTGATTGGTATAGATGTTGGTAGTATCTGGGGTGGTTGGAGAGGCCTTTCATATAAGATGCAAGTTCTTAGAGCTCTCAAGTGTCTTAATGGGGATAAGGAACCTAGGCTTGACAAAATGACTATGATTTTCTTTCAGAATTGGAGTGTGGTGAGAGAGTAGGTGATGGGTATGATGATGAATTAATTCTATGACAGTGTCACATTGAAGAAGAGTCTAAATTCATCCTCTGTGGCCTTAAGATCCCTAAGAACGGGAGTACAGTGGATATTAGAGACTTTCAACCTATTAGTTTGCTTGGTAGGGCGTATAAATTGTTGGCAAAAGTGTTGGCGATCCATTAGAAAGACGTGTTGAATGTGGTGCATTGATGGTATAGGATTCTCTGAATGTGTTTGTTGAGGTGTTAACTCTAGAACGAGAGTGTTGTGGTGGAGGTGATATGTAAGTTGGATAATGATACAACTTACGATCATTTGAATTGAGATTTAGGCTAAGTTTGGGAAGTCCCAAATAAGTTAAAAAGTCAAAAAGTTACTCAAAAAGTTAAAAAATTGACACTATTCACCAAAAGTCAACAATTACGGCTGCACAACTCTCAATTCAAATTTTCCTCTACAAATCAATTTTTACAATTTTTTATTACACATTTTTCCATAAAAAAGTCAAAAAGTTAACCCAAACATCCATATTTTCAATCTCAATTTTTTAGTTCAAAAAGACAAAAAGTGCACTTATTTAGTCTTCCCAAACTTGGCCTTAGTATTATATGCATTGGGTAGGATGAGTTTTGTAAATTGATGGAGGCGATTGATTTTCTATGGTCCCATGTTCTTTAGCCCTCTATTTGTTGTAAATTAAAAACTATGTTTCCCCATGTATTATGTTATATTAGGTCTGAAATTTATCCCTAGAGCACATCATATGGACCAAATCTGGTCCCGCAGTAAAAGTCCTGAACTATTTGAAAGAATTAATGCAATGTTGGTTAACTGAATAACTCTGACACTATGATGTAGTATAAATAGAAAACCCAATATTAATAAGACTCCTAATTAAAAAGAAAATGAATAAAATACTGTAGTCAAAATTATAAAATTGTAAATAAAGTCTCCATGTGCACACGTGAACATTCTGCATCACCCTAGACCTCTGGTAGTTGTATGATTTTTGAACCTGAGCACCTGCTAAGATTTTTTAAAAGCATTTCAAAGGTCTCCAAATTATTATCTTGAAATGAACTGCGGATACTATTTCTTTTGCTTCAAAATAGTTGTAGTACCTTGAAAGGCTTATTTTAAACTTCTTTAGTTTGGTGAGAATATTTATGAGGAATATATCAAATTAATAACTGCTCTTTCTACTGATTGAAGAACTAGTTTCTAGATCTTGTGGTGGGGGAAAATGAAGACCTTATTTTCCCCCCATCTGTTTCGCTTGTGAATATTTACATAGCTAGTCTTGAGATATTATGTGTACCTGATTCCAGGTTAAAGCACTTTATGTGAAGAACATACCTGAGAATACTCCCCTTGAGCAAGTGAAGCAACTATTTCAACGCCATGGAGAAGTGACAAAAGTTGTTATGCCGCCCTCCAAATCTGGTGGCAAAGGAGATTTTGGTTTCGTCCATTATGCAGAAAGGTCAAGTGCATTGAAGGCTGTCAAAGATACAGAGAAACATGAAATTGATGGTATTGTTTCCACAAATTTGTTATTTCAATTACTTAAAGCTAACAAAGGTCATGGACTATAACCTAAACATTGAAATGATGACTATAAGATACAACATGTATCCGTATAGAAAAGAGAACAGGAAAAAAAGATGCGTGTATGCTAATTCTTTGTCCTTTGTTGTGGGAATACCTGCATTATTGATCTTTTTATTTGGATATCCTGGAAAATACTGGAAAATTATATTTACGGATAACAAATTAAAAAAAAAAAATTGGAACTTCATCATTTTATAAAGATTAATGCTTCCTACCTCCACTGGGGGTGGACCCCCAGTGAGGTGTCGGCCCCGGATTGGTCCAAAAAAAAAAATTGTTTTTTTTTTTTTTTTAAGTTTTCAGCCAGTGAGGGCGCGCCACGTCACTGGGGGCGCGACCCCCACTGGGGGTATGCAGCGCGGTTGTTATATAAATAAGATTGGGTTTGCATTAAAATTATCATCTTGAATTAAAATTGGAATTAGACTTTAGTAAAAGAGTGATTGCCAACTGTAAAAGTCAATGATCAAAGTTACAAAGGAAGAAAGTAGAAGAAAATAAAAAAATGAGCATTTTGGATGATTTTTACTTTTTTGTAATTAGTTTTCGAACTTCCATTTCCTTGGTAATTTCAAAAGGTTTTCATTAAATTTTTTTGTTTTTTTTCGGTTTGAGCAAAATTAAATTTTAAATTTAAGCCCCATATCACACGTTATTTTCTCAAAGACATGTAATACCATTGTGCATTTTTTTCTTATTGAAGTGGCTCTTTTTGACCTTTGGTATGAAAGCAAGGGATAAGAGTATCTCCAACCGCATTTTATCTATTTTAATATTATTATAAAATATATTTTTTATTTTATTTATTAATTATTTTATGTTTTATTATAGTCATAATTTTTATTTTAGTTATTCATCCAAATATTATTAACTTTATAGATGGAAGAAAATGATCTTAATGATTAAATATATTTTATCTAACCGTAAAGACTAAATACATATAATTAGTGAATGTGAATTGAAGTAAAATATCGAATTATGTATTGAAGTTGCAAAAAAAAAAATCATACTAAATATTTTAACTAATAAACATTATATACTAGGGTAAATTACACTGACACCCCCTGAGGTTTATATTTATTACAATTTCCGCCCTCACATTTAGAAAACTACACTGACCTCCTGTTAATTTAATTTTATGTATGATGATCATTACGGTGAGGGGGAATTGTTATGTAACTTTAAACCTCAGGGGATAATTTGTAATAAAACTTTAAACCTCAGAGAAGAAGATGTAATTTTCAAAAGTAAGGAACAAAATTATAATAAATATAAACATCAGGGTGTTAATGTAATTTACCCTATATACTATTAGCGATGCTCTAAAATCTAACACGTATAAGCATTTCATGAAAAAAGAGATACGGTGATATTGATGATACAAGGTACTCATATCTAGAAGGAAAATGACACCTAAGCCTTACTATTCATTCCCACCCTTTCACATTTGACACCAATTTTGGCGTCATTACCTTTTGTAGTTTCTTGGAATTGAGACAACTCTTTTGTCATTCAAACAATCTTTAGAAATCAATTGGAGATGCCTTGTAAATCTTGAAAATTCAAAGTTTCTTTTGAACAAACAACATAACACAAAAATAAATTTAATTTTTTCTTTAAAAAAAAAAAATCGAAGAACAAAGAGTCCAATGTGGAAATTATCAAACTACAATGCCTGAATAGTTATTCAAAAAATAATGAAAAAATAAAAGTTGTAGATGAGATTTATTCTTGATGCCTGAATTTACTTTATACTATAAATTTCATATGTTTGACTATTTTTGGAAGAAATTAGACTTCCAAACTTTTTTTTTTTGTTTAATTAGTAAATCTCACTATGAAACAAAAGCACTTCTAATTTACCCTAGCTTGCATAATTAAATTCCACTTGCATTTTTTGTGTCATTTTAAAAGTTACTCTTAATTAAAAGTTTTTAAAAAATATCTAAAAAATGACATATAAAGAAAAAACATTCCTTGAAAAATACACCTAAGAATTTGTCAATTTGCTTTCAAATGGCCCAAGGAATAGTTGATCCCTGAAATGCTTGGTGTCTCATCAGCTTTGGTCTTCACTGACCATGATTCACGATATTAACAAAACTTGAGATCTTATGTTGGATCTCAATAAAATTAAACTTTAGATATCATTTTCTTTTTTCTTTTTCTTTTTTTTTTATGTTTTTGGGTGGGACGAGGTAAATTATAATTTTAACTTTGTAATTTAATTCAAATTTTACTTTTATCCTTATATTTTAAGTTCAGTTTTAATTTGATCATTTTATTCAAATTAAAAGTTAAAATTAATAATTTTTGAAACACTAATCAATCTATTAAGATCTATACGTAAAAAAAAAAATAACAAAAATTTAGATAGAAAAATCTAATTAAAACTAGAGTTAAAGTATAAAGATCAAATTATTCAAATTAAATCAATAAAATCAAAATAAAATTTAATTCAAAATACATGATTAAAAGTGTAATTACATTTTTTATCTTGTCACATTTGACCATAATGAGCTAGGGATGATGATTTAAAACTCAAAATAATTGCTTCTAAGTCTTCGTTTGGAAAGAGCTAAAATAGTTTAGCTTTTTAGTTATTTTAATTTGACTTTTTTAGGCTCGTTTGGTTTTTATTTTTAACTTTTTTGACTTTTGTATAATGATTATGATTTGAATATGATATTAGAAGTTGATGTGTGCATGGAAATTGAGAGGGTAATTTATAAGTAAATTAGGTCGAGCTGTGTAATCGGCCGATTTGTGGGCCGCGATAAGAAAGGGCTTAGTAAAAGGGCTTTGTAGTTAGCTTGGTCACCACAGTCAGAGTGGTAACAATTAGCTCGGTCCAAGCTTGTTATGGTAGCTCGGTTTGAGCAGGTGAAACCGAGGTATAAGCTATGAAGGGAAGAACCGAGCTAGTTAGAGCTCGGTCACTTTTGCCAGTTTAGTATGGCCGTGTTAGCTCGGTTGTTTTGTCATGCTACCGAGGTAAAATCATCTCACTTGGTTTAAACAGTGAAGGGGTGTTGAAGGATAAGTATTATCTTTCAAGAGTATGATTCCTAGGGGACTCTATATAGAGGAGTAAGAGTCCTACTAGGATTGTGTCACGCGGAACCTATAAAAGTTCATAACATCACCTAAGAAGAGGTAACATAACTTTGATTCCTGAATTCACAGAGCTTTTGTGTCTTAGTATCTATTGTGCTGACTTAGGCATCGGAGGGGTTTCCGGCACACACCCGCCAGTTAGCTCACGTTTGTGTTTTCAAGTGGCAAAGCGACGACGTTTTGAGGAGCGCAAACTTGATCAACAGGATCATACGAAAAGAATTATTTCGTGCTTATACAGAAATGTTGGATGATTGATTACTTTTTCTTTTTTTCTTTTTTAATACATTGAAAATAAAAAAATAAAGGAATATAAGTGAGAAAATTGTGACCCACAGAGAAAAATTGTCCCCCCTCTATGGTCTATCAGCAATCAGCGTAAGCAAGGGTTTGAACATGACACAAAGCTGTACGTCATAGACTCGCACACTCCTCTCTCTCCTCTTTCTCTGTCATCTACTGTTTGGACTGTGGGAGTAAGCAACGCGGAAGCAGGTACGAAGATTATTCCCATCTTCTTTCTCTCCTTTCTTTGACTTTCCATCACTCTCTCTCTCAATTTCATGGAAAATTCTACTGGACTAGTTTTGTGAGCTTATCTTGTACATTAATTTGATTGAAGAATTAAATTCATAGACTGAACAGTAAATTTTCAATTTTATGCAAGTTTTTTTTTTAATTATTTATTTATTTATTATGATCTTTGTTAATCTTTTTAGCTTGTAAGATTAGGAAAATTGCCTAATAGAGTAAGTGCTTCTTTATCAGATGATATATATGAATTTCTTATTGTCCTTTAGGCTATTTCCAATGTTTTATTAAATTTAAATTCGATGAAAAATTAATAAAAGTAGTGTTCCAACTGTTTCATCATATTAATATCAAATAAAGTGAGCGAAATTTATTTTATCAAATAAATGGAGTGTTTATTTTTTTATTAAATTTTGCAAGTGACCACTGAGTGAACAATCTCCTGGACAACTGATTTTAGGATGGATTTGATGAAAATTTATTCTAGACCGGATGACTGGCTTGATTTGATGAAACCATTAAAGTGCATTAGATTAAATTCTTTATCAAATTTAATAAAAAATTTGATGAAGCATTGAAGATTATAAAAATAAAAGCTTTTAAACTAGTTATTTAAATCTTTTATCAAATTGATTTGATTATGATACTCACATTATTCTAATATATTTCTTTTGTTATATTTCTTAAAATCATACTTATCATTTGTTTCTTTGACTAACATTAGATGACTATGATTATAAGATTGATTTATTTTCATTTTTTTTAAAGAAAGATTTACGCGAATATGCTTGATCATCAAAATAGGCCATATGGTGCCATAAAAATATGAAAAATGGATAGGGGAGTGCATATTTGGATAAGAGATAAACTTAACCTAGCTTTTTTTTTTTTTTTTTTATTTGTAAACGATAAATAATAGATGTTAGTAAATTAATAAGTTATAACAAAATAATTATAGTCGTTTTATCAACTCAAATTTTAAATCTTTAACCTTATCATCAGAGTCACAAGCAACAACCATATAAAATATTGAATCAACTCCTGTCCAATCCAATTCTATGGTATAAGAAGGTTAAAAGCTTCACAAACAGAAGAGAGAGAGAGAGAGAGAGAGATGCGAGGGCCTTTGAATCGGTCACTAATTGGATTTTCTTTCCTTCTTATCTACAATTGTCATGTACCTTTGTCTAAAAAACAATTTGGCTTTTCAACAGTAAAAAATTATCTTTTCCTCGTCTTTTCCCACCCCTATATCTTCCTCTGTTTCCTCCCAACTTCTTCACTAAGAAAAGCCCTTTCCTTAGTGGTTGCAAACACTCTCTCTTTCTCTCTGCCTCTCTCTCTCTCTCTCTCTCTCTCTCTACCCATAATCCCCAATTCAAATTCTCACATTTTAGTCACTTTTTATCTCATTTTCAAACCTTAAAACATAGTGATCTCACTCACCCACTTGCCATTTTATCTACTTCCATGTTTGCAGCTTCTTCTGTTTCTGGGTTGTCTTCATTTTCCTCCATTGTTGTATCATTTTCTAGCACTTCATTTCCCACCAACCAATCACACATTGCTACATCTCCTTCTAATCTTGAATTCCCAATAATGTACCTACTTGATATGATCTGAATTCACTTCAATTTTAGACCTTCACAACTCTCTGCATCGCCTTCAGCCCGCGATCCTCTCCATTCAGGCAAAACATCTAACAGTTTGTGTGCAATTTCAAAATGGAACAAACCAAGGGTTTGAACCAAGGAACTCTGATCAATGAGCTAATCCAAGGTTTAGAGCTAACAAAGCAGCTCAAAAACAATCTTGACCCTTTAGCATCATCACCCGAATCATGCGAGTTTTTGATTCAAAAAATACTTTCTTCATACGACAAAGCACTTTCAATCCTAAATTTGGAGGATTCAGTGGGAGAGCTTCATCAGATAGGTGGACATGGTGGTAGCCCAAAAAGTGAGGACTTTAAGGTTCACTGCCACAAAGATGTCTATAAGAAGAGGTGAATATAGGCTTCAACCATTTATGGGTTTTATGCAATTCAGCTTAATTTTGTTTTTTTGGGGAGATTGAATTTGATCTAAATTAGTTTGTCTACAAGAAGAGGTGAATTTAGGCCTCAACCATTTACGGGTTTTTGTAATTCAGTCAATTTTTTGGTTTTTTGGGATTGAATTTGGTCTATGTTGGTTTGCATTTTTGGATTTGCAGAAAGACATTGCCGCGATGGACTAAACAAGTGTGCGTTTGCTCGGAAACAGGGGTTGTTCCTCTTGAAGATGGCTATAGTTGGAGAAAATATGGGCAGAAAGACATCTTGGGAGCCAATTTTCCAAGGTTAGAAAAGCTTGTGCTATTGACTTGATTTACATCTATCTTTGAAGTAGTAAATTAACATGCTCAACTTAAACTCACGAGTGTTTTTGAATTTTTCATAATTTTCACCAAGGTAGTTTTAGCGTTTTTCAGAAAACAGATTCTGAAAACGAAACAAACAGAGTGGAGCTATTAAAGGACACTTTATTCACCTCAAATCACAAATTCTCTTCCTATTATGAATTTAGCCCTTTTTGTTTTATGTGTCACATACTCACACAGGACTTAAATCCATCACTATTCTCTTTGTTCATGATTTCTAGTGTATGTATATTGAGCACAAAGATACACAAATACAAACCTAGAAAATATAGTAGTAATTCAAATTAAAGCGAAATCAAGGTTGATGAGATTATAGGGAATTTAAACTCTATGTGAAGTTGAGAAGATATATTTGGAATTGACCTCCATGTTCTAACTTTCATGATGTCCCCAAACAATATTTGATGTCTTTTTTAGCTTGGTCCCAAAACAATTGAACTTTAATGTAACAACTACATGCTCTCTTACCCCACTAATACTTGCCCACTTGCTGTAAGGTAGTTTTAGATGGGACCACTTGGTGTCTAAACTATTGTACTCTTGACCATATATGCTATCTGAACTCGAATTGTCTATGCGGTCCCTTAGGTTGTGTTTGGATCTTGAATTTGTGAGGGAAAAGAAAAGGAGTGAGAAAAAGATTGGAGAAAGAAAAATGAAGTTAAAAGCTATTTTTTTCCGGTTCTTGTTAAACCACCTTTTCCCCTTTAAAAACCGGGCTTTAGCCCCCAAATTTCTGTCCTGTGGAAGCTCATCTAAATGAAAACAACCATATATATACATCTATATGCTTAAATGGACATGGCATAAGTTTGCAAGAAAGATATATATCATTTTATTTCGGTTATATTGAATTTGATGGTATTACTGTCATCATCATCAATCAGCTGTGACCATCTATGTGCATAACGTGCACATGTGAAATGCATACATATATACGTAAATACATCCATACGATCATAGTTATGTGTACATACATTTCATTGAACCCTGGTTTAACGTGGGTTGTTGCGGTTGCAGGTCGTATTATAGATGCACTCATCGTCATGCACAAGGCTGTTTGGCAACAAGGCTAGTCCAGAAATCAGATAAAGACCCTTCAATCTTTGAGATAACATACCGAGGAAGACACACCTGTATCCAAACATCTCAGGTAATCCCGGCCTTGGCTTCAATTGGAAATGAAGGTTCAAAACAGAACAGAGATGAAAATCAGAGTCAATCCCAAGAGCTGCTCTTTGAATTTGGAGCGGGCCATACAGTTAAAATTGAGGACCTTGGCCTCACAGAGGAAACCTTTACTTCCTTTTCATTTCCCTCGACACCAATTGAATCTGAAAATGTTGAAACCAACATTATCCTGGATTCTATCAAGGAAAATAATTTCTTGGGTAGTGATTCCCGGGCTTTTTTCTCTCCAGAGACATCCGAATCCGACCTTTTCTCAGTGTTTCCGTGCCAGATGGATGACTTTGGACTGAGTCAGATACAACATTCAAAATCTGATTTTTCTGAGATGATTTCGGCTTTAGTTGCCAACTCTTCGATTGGGAGCTTGGATTTCTCACTTAATCAAGCTGATTTTGAACCGAATTTCTCATTTGACACTTCTGAATTCTTTGCTTAACAGCAGAGAGATTCATCATCCTACCACAATACCAAACAAGAAAATGAAAATTGATGGAAAACAAAAATGGAGTATCGGCATAATTATCTGAATTTGTTGATGAGGGAATGTCCATAGAAATAGTGACTGAAATATGATATATGAAGGCCTCCTCTGATGCTTGGCCAGAGAGGTGATCTTTACTTTGTTAGTTTGTACTTTGTCGTTGGAGATAGGAAATGCGTAATCTTCTCTGTTTGTATGTTTTACTTTCTCTTGAATAGGTCCTTGTTTTTTGCCCGAAGATTTAGAATCTCTGTTTTAACATATTGGACTGAAGCATGGTTTTAATTTCTTTCTTATATATATATATATATATATATTATATCAAAATTTTGACTAAAAATTCTTACTTCAAGAGTCTCCTCTCATGAGGAGGAGTCTCATTGGAAGCTTGAAGAAATAATGAAAGTCTATTCCTATTTATAGGAAAACAATTGTTCAAAGAGAACCTAAAAATTGAATGTGGGATTCAATCAAATTGTTTGAATCATATTTGATTGGAGGGAGAGTTGAAAATTTTGTTTCCCTCCAAAATTAAATCTAGCATTCAATCAATTTGTTTGGAGGGAATGTTAAATTTTTTTAATTTCTTTAAAACTAGTGACTTTTTTTTATCAATTATGACTTTATTAAATATTATTAGTAAATATTGTGCAACACTTTTTTTTATTATTTCAATAATTATATATATTTTTATTTATTTATAATTTTTAATTATATTTTTAATTATATAATATTAATTATGACATCACGGTTCGACCGCTTCGACCCGACGGTTGAACCAATGACCCATCCACCTGATTCCTTTTCCGATTCGCTCACCGGTCCGATTTTCAAAACAATGGACTGAAGCATTGCCCATTTTACAATGTCCTAAATACAAAAGTTATCACTCTCTATGAAGATTATTTGGATTCCCTTTTGCATGAGTGAAAAATCACTCTGTGTTGGATAACTCGATATACTTGTTGTGTCTATTTTTAAATATTTAAACTTTTTGAGACTCATGGTGATCTAACATGGTATCAAAACTTTGGTTGGGGGAAGATTTTGGATTCAAATCTCTTCGTTTGTATTTATTTTCTATTTGTATTTTGTTTTGTATTTCTATTTATTTTTTTATGTGTAAGACGTGGTTGCACGTCAAGGAGAGTGTTAGATAATTCATAGTTTAAATTGGAACTTACCAATAAATTTAGGACTTTAAGGATCACATCAACCCAAAAAAAAAAAAAAAATCTAATAATTTAAGGATCAAATAGAGAAGATTTAAAGTGAGAATTAAGTAAATACTTCAGGGGTAAAAAATATAATTTGCCTTTCTTATAATTTTGTAAAGGAACATAGAAATAAAGACCCCCAAGCTCACCGGTCCGATTTTCAATTTTCCGATTCGCTCACCGGTCCGATTTTCAAAACAATGGACTGAAGCATTGCCCATTTTACAATGTCCTAAATACAAAAGTTATCACTCTCTATGAAGATTATTTTGATTCCCTTTTGCATGAGTGAAAAATCACTCTGTGTTGGATAACTCGATATACTTGTTGTGTCTATTTTTAAATATTTAAACTTTTGAGACTCATGGTGATCTAACATGGTATCAAAACTTTGGTCGGGGGAAGATTTTGGATTCAAATCTCTTCGTTTGTATTTATTTTCTATTTGTATTTTGTTTTGTATTTCTATTTATTTTTTTATGTGTAAGACGTGGTTGCACGTCAAGGAGAGTGTTAGATAATTCATAGTTTAAATTGGAACTTACCAATAAATTTAGGACTTTAAGGATCACATCAACCCAAAAAAAAAAAAAAAATCTAATAATTTAAGGATCAAATAGAGAAGATTTAAAGTGAGAATTAAGTAAATACTTCAGGGGTAAAAAATATAATTTACCTTTCTTATAATTTTGTAAAGGAACATAGAAATAAAGACCCCCAATCTAGCATGTTTGATAAAAACCATACTTCCAATCATCTTGGAATCATATTTTATGCACAAAAATCCTTCTCATTTGCCTTTGTATAAGACTGACTTAATTCTCTCTCCATCTCAATCAAATGATTGAAAGTAGGGGTGCTTAGCGAATATACTGATCCGTCCAAATCGATCTGTTGCATATTGGACAGATAAGTGATGATAAGCAAATGGATACAAATTGATTTTCTCCAATTTGCTTAGTTTTGAACAGATGGCAGATTGAATGTTCCTAGGCCGCAATTGAACTACAAGCACCCCTAATTTGTAGTCATTGTTAACATGGAGGTTTGTTGGATTATTATCCATATTTGTTGTAATTATTAATAAAACAGATTGGATTGTTATCCAAAAAAATATATAAAAAATTTATGTCAACAGGTTTTATTATGCTGAAAATTTATAAAGTGTAAACTGCCAAATCAATCTGCATCCATCCACTAATTCGGAGGACGGTTGTGAATTGACTTTCTCCAATTGACCTAATTTTAGACGAATGACAAATTAAAAGTTCTTCACCACAACCGAACCATGAGCACCACTAATTGAAAGGTACAACCTCAATGTGCTCTTACACAACAATTATTTACGATAACATATAGCATGGTCATATCACAAAACAAATATCGAGTTATCCATCTGTGTAAACTCCATACAAATAGGTGATTCAAATTTGTTTATAGTACTATATATATATATATATTTTTTTTTTTGGGGGGGAGGAGCCCCAACCTGGCCCATGGGCTGGACATTCCACTCCACCCACTTCATGCCATGGGTTGAGGAAATCATTTTGGTGGATTATATCAAAAAAAAATATGAACTTTTTTTGATTCATAGATGTGTAAATAGACTACTTCACATATCCATTAGGAAATATTGCTTCTTAACACTCATAGTGTATCTGCAGAGAACCTCACCGTACCAATGTCAGGGCCGAAGTTAAGACCCTCCACATGCTCTAGATGCTAAGAAGGATGTTTAATCCCAACAAAGAGTTATGGAGACTCGAACTCAAGTTTTGAGTGAGGAATTTAAAAGTTTTACCACTAAACTAAACTCTTGTTGATAAAAAAAAAAAAAAAACTTTAATATGAAAATGGGAAAGTTGGTAAAAAAAAAAAAAAAACTTTAATATGAAAATGGGAAACACTGTGGTGCACACCCTTCAACTTTTAAAATGTATGCACCATATGCACCTCATAATTTAAAAAAAATGACATAATTTTAATTTTCTAAGCCATAACTAAAAAAATAAAAAATGACATAACTAAACACAATATGAAATATAACTAAAGAACTCATAAGTCATAATTAAAATAATATCACAGCTAAAAAAGAAAATATGTTATAATTAAAAGAAAATATAACATAATGCATATGATACACTCTTTTAAAGGTGATATATATTAGAATTTCCGTATGAAAATATATGTAGTGTTCATGACAAGCACAACCCTGAAAGTTACATACATGAAAGTTACATAATTCACAATAGTCATGACATGCATGAAAGCTACAAAACAAATTATCATCACAATTCAATTATAAAGTGTAAGAGCATCTCCAACGGTGAACTTCTTTTTTCACTAAATTTGAATAAAAAATGACTCATTTTCTGAATTTGATATCAGTTGCTCCAACGGTGTATCAAAATTTTGTGGGTCAACCGGTTGGTCAACCGGTAAAGCCAATTTTTTTTTTTAATCTTTTTGAACTGTTTGAACTTACCTATTTGAACTGTTTGAACCAGTTCGCAGGCCAATGTTTGCATGCACTGGTCGACTTGTTGGTCAACCAGGTGGTCGACCAAGGGGTTGACCAGGTGGTCATCCAGGTGGTCGACCACCATGTGTAAAATTCTCAAGCTTTTCTGCTTTAACTGTCAGGAACAGTAATTTGGTAAAATCAGTACCTTGTTTTCAGTTTGATGATTTTTTTGTTGAATTCTCATTTTGATATCAATTTGGTGAAACGATTGGAGCACCAAAAAGTATTTTTTTACCAAAATTTGAATCTGATGCCAAGTTTGGTTCACCGTTGGAGATGGTCTAAGTTGATCTTAAGTTGTATGTGCATATATAAAAGTGGTTATAAAAAATATAAAAAAAATCTTTTAGATTTTAAAGGAGGCTGGCACAAATTGTCAATTTTAAGATATTTGACACTAGGAGGGAAAAATTGGTAGAAATAAGCTTGTCTCCAATCTAATTGAAGGATTATACAATACAGTCAAGTCTGTAAAGTTCATTATAGATTTTATTTTAATAATTTAAATAATTTATCTAGTGAGTCTTTGTATATGGATTTTCTTTAAAAAATTCAAATTGATTCAATAATTATAATTATATAATTTTTATGTATTTTTTTCACCAAAATTTGAATCTGATGCCAAGTTTGATTCACCGTTGGAGATGGTCTAAGTTGATCTTAAGTTGTATGTGCATATATAAAAGTGGTTATAAAAAATAAAAAAAATCTTTTAGATTTTAAAGGAGGCTGGCACAAATTGTCAATTTTAAGATATTTGACACTAGGAGGGAAAAATTGGTAGAAATAAGCTTGTCTCCAATCTAATTGAAGGATTATACAATACAGTCAAGTCTGTAAAGTTCATTATAGATTTTATTTTAATAATTTAAATAATTTATCTAGTGAGTCTTTGTATATGGATTTTCTTTAAAAAATTCAAATTGATTCAATAATTATAATTATATAATTTTTATCATAATTTTTTTTAAGAAAAAAATAAGTGATTTACATTCAAAAATATAAATATAATAAAATTGTGTGGCTACAATTACCGATCAAAATAAAATTTTCTTATATTATCTCAACACAAAAGATAGAAGATTAATAGTCTTATGGTGAGTGGTATGGGTCAAAATATACGTTTCAATCTATTAATGGGGAAAAAGCTTCATCCAAATTGATGGAGACATAGGAGAAAAGGAGGGAGAAAATGGGGTGGCTCAAAGAATTGAAAAATAAAATAAAGTTCTAGAAAGGCAAGGGCGATTATTGTCAACTTTTGATGATCCCACCAGTCTTTGTATTTATATCAGAATTAATTGGTTTTTTTTTGTAAAGAACAAAAAAAGGTATGGCATAGAATACTCTTCTAGATGACATGACGATATGATTCTAGCTTTTCGAAAGCGAAACATTATGGTATACATTTTTTATAATTAAAAAAAAATGATATAATATTATAATTTTTGAATCATAATAATTAAAAAAAAAATATCATAATCAAATACAACATGAGGTATAATTATAAATTTCATAAGTTATAACCAAAATAATATAAT